ATTAAAAATTAAATAAGATCCATTGAAAAGTTTGATCTAACGATAATAACAAGAAAATGAGAAAAATTATTTAGGGAAAACATGCTAGTAGATCCTTACAATTTCACTCAATTTTAAATTAGATCTTTACAGTTTAATTGTTTTAATCAAACCCTTATAATTTTATCTATTATATATATATGTGATCAAAAGTTAAAATTAATAATGAATTATTAAATTTTACAAGTCAAAAATACTTTTGGAGTTTGCAGAAAGTTTAATGTAATACTTTAGCCAAAATTGAAAAAGAAAATTTGATTTAATCCACTATATATATTTTTATCATAATTTTTATGAAAATTTTGCATGTATAAAAAATATTTAGAAGACAACGTAATATATATAAATTTTGATTTATAAAAAATTATGTAATTAATTCTAAAGTAATATAATCATTTAAAAAAACAATATAAAATTTCTTAATTTTGTTTTTTAAAGGAAAAATTTAAGGATTTTAATTTTCAAGGATAAAAATTTTAATTAGTTATATTATAAGGACTCAATTAAAATAGAATAAACTGTGAGGACCTAATTTACAATTTAATGAAACTATAAGGAGCTGCAGATATATTTTTCCAAATATTCATACTTATATGCATCATCCTCCTTTTCAAGCCGCAAAAATCCTTCACTCTCTTCTCACTAACCCTAGCACCTCACACCAGTACTGGCGCCATGGACTTTTCCGACGAAGTTCTCCTTGATTCATCGTTCAAAGCCATGACACAAAACTCCGACCGATATCAGGGCGATCGTGCAAGCAAGAAGGAGATGAAGAAGGTCGAGGACAAAATGGAGAGGAAACCACTGACGCCATGGATGATGAGAATACTGATCAGTCCAATGCACGTTTGAATGTTACTGCCAATAATAATCCTAGAAATTCGGATAATGATGATGGTTACTACTTTGTCCTTGATTCATCACCATCAAAAGCCTTACAAGAAGAAGACGAATTAGGTCAAAGACAAAAGAAAAACAGTAGTGAAAATCCAGAAGGAGAGGATGATGATGATGCTGCTGATTTGAAGTTGCAGCTTAATATTGAGCGGTCTGATATTTCAAGTCTGAATTTTATAATAGTGATGATGATGGTCGTCAACATGCTTTTGATTTGAACTTTCCTGTGAATTATGATCCAGAAGATGTGTTGGGATATGATTATTGTGAGGGTAGACTCAAGAAGTCTCGCATGGAAGACAATAATATACGCAGCAGCCTCCGGCAGATTCAGTAGTGAAGATCATGGCCTCGACTTGGAGCTCAGAATCGGTTTTTCTTCCGCAAGGAACTAATATTCGTACGTGGTCACACTAATTACTGACATCCGAAGGTTCCTGACTTGTTGCTTCTCTCACAATATATATATATATATATTTGGGTAGTTGAATGTTAAAACTCTTTTAATTTGTTCTTCAGATATTTCTGGTAGGGTTTGATATTTTGTGTGTGGGGTGGGTCCAGCTTCAGTACTCATCATTTCTCATATGAATTTTTTTTTATTAATTTTCATAAATTGATTGGCTATTTGAATTTATTTTGAACGGATTAGATTTAAATTTTTATTTATAATTTTTTTAAAAAATATTTTTTTTGGAAATCAGTCGAAAGATTATCTTTATTTTTAATCTTATATTTACCAAAAAAAAATTTATAAAATTATTAAAAAATTTAATATTAAGTGGTACATTTAAATAGTTAATTTATAAAAATTATAAATATTTTTAAAATTAAATTGAAATATTCAAATTTATAAATGTATTTTTTGAGAGGCTGGACAAAAAAATATAAGATAGTTTTAGTATTTTTAAGGTATATTAATGTGTTCTTTTTTCCAAAAATATCTTTCAAAATAAATTATTTTATATTTTTTGACTGAACGAAGCATTTTGTATTTATTTTTAAGTAAAATATCTTATTAAATAAGTGTATATATAAAAAAAATGTTATTAGTTTAAAGACAGTTAACTAATTTATTGAGAATGATATTTGCTTAAAATGTCTTACATTTTTTATTAAATATAAATTTTTATTTTAATAAATATGAAATAAAAATTAAAACTTTAGATATAAATTGTATAAATCTCATTAAAAGGATAATGCTCAGTTCCTCGTGAGCACTAAAGCGAGATGTAGTGAGTTTCTGTGCTTGCCAATATCAGGTGAGGATTCTCTCCTTTTCCTTTTTCATCCTCGTCTCTTCTTTTCTCTTTTTTAGCCATTATATCAAAATTTAGATTGTGTAGATTTGATCTCGTATAAAATTATTATTGCCATGTTAAATTATAAGAAAATACAAAATATTAAAATTCATACTGCTAAAATTTAAAAAGAAGAATTAAAAAATTAGGAAGAGGAGGGGGAAAAATGGGAAGGGAAGATGAGAGCATCATCACCCGTCAATATCATTATATAATTATGGATTTGTTATGGATTAGAGATTAATCACGTTATTTAATGGAAGACTCAAGTCATTTGTTTTTTTTTTAAAAAAAATCATATTTTATGACCGTATAATCAAAGCAAATCAGGATGATTATTTTGATAGGGGAAGTTAGAAATAAAATTGTAAGAGTTTTATACATTCAATTTGTTGGCCAAAAAATTAAAAAAATCAATTTGAGTATCTAACGATTATTCATTGCAAAAAATGTTTTTAATTATTATTTATATATACAATTATCTACGGTCTAAAATGTCAAAAACATCCCTTATTGGTGGTTGTTAAAATTTTATCGTTCAGAAATTTAAATACTCATTCTGTTTTAAGGGGTTGACTTTTAAAAAATATAAGACATTTTTAATATTTTAAGGTAAAAAAATGCCCTCATTAAATAATCACTTTATATTTATTTTAGAGTAAAATGTCCTATTACATAAAGCTAAATATGAAAAGATAGTATTAATTTAAAAATAAATAATCATTTTATTAAAGGTAAAATTTAATTAAAAATACTTTATATTTTTTAACAAAGTGAGTAGTGGCAGCAATACGATTCTACACTTATGAACATTTGATTATTGACTATATTCTTGGCCAAAAAAATTATTGATTATATATATATATATATATATATGTATATATTGATCAATATTAATAGCGACATTGTGGTGGAGATGATTGAGACCCTATCATATTTTAATTTGGAAATGATAAAGGAATATTTAAAGTGTTATGATAATTTTAGAGACAGAATTAACCGTATGCTTTTCGAACAGGTGACTTTGCGGCTGCGAAAATGGAATTAACCGCATGCTTTGTATGCATGATAAGAACTATACTATTTACAACTTCTAAATACTTTATTTGATTTTTATAAATCATTTTCAAATTTGTAAGATTAATAAAATTAGTTAAATAGAAACTTTTTTTTAACAAACTTTCAAAATTATCTTTAATTAAATTAAAATCATTTTCAAGCAAAAAGTAAAAGAGACAAAAATACTTTTATAAATAAATTATAAATGTTCCGTTAAATTTTTTAAATGATGTATTAATGATCCTCAGGTATAGTCTTTTAAATAGGATCAAAAGAATAATTTATTATACATATTTTGTATTTTGTATTGACATCCATGATGCTGATAATCGCTGTTCAAGACTTGCCCTATCAGTATTATCTTCCTGAATTTAGGCCTCTTGTCAATATATTCAGAAGCATAACCAACGTTGCCCAAACAGCAAAGACAGATTCACCAGCCAAGTCTAGCATGGGTACAAAAAATACAACAGTAACAAAAAGAAAAAAAAAATAAAATTTTTAATCTTTTAAATTTATTTCAATCTTCGATTTGATCCTTTATAATTTTCTTTTAAATTTTAAAACATAAATTAACTTAATAATTTAAAATGTAAAATACATTGTTAACTTGACAATGCATATGCAGTTAAACGAGAACAAATTAACTTTTAAATTAATTTAATTTTTATTAATATAATTTCTCTTATCATGTTTTGTTCTTTTGTTTTTAAAAATTTTAGAATATGCTTTTTCATACCTAAATAATTATACTTGTTTTCATTCATTTGTTTGGCTGCAATCAATATTCTATTATCCATTAATAGTATAACCGTTCTTTTTTAAAATAATAAGGATCAAATTGATAATTAAAATAAACTTAAAAAACTAACTTGATAAAAATTAAACTTGAAGGACTGAATTAATAATTGATACAAACATAGAGAACTAAAAGTTATATTATTCTATCAGAACAAAGAATAAAAAACATAACTCTAAATAATAACAACATAAATAATTAAAGATGATGAATTGCCTTTATCCAGAAATGAACTCAATAGGGCTGGAGTAAAAGTCATACTTTGATCAAGAAGCCAACGCTGTTTAACTCTTGATAATAAAAAAAAAAAAAAAATTACATATACATAGCTACGTGGAGCTAATTCAAGTACTAAGAACGAGTTAATCTGTGAGAAATGACCAAGTTCAGACCATTCTAGGCCCAAAAGCCTTACACCATGAAAAATTTCTTCTATTTCTGCACGCCTACAACATCCGATACAAAATCATAGAACAGGGACAAACCTCTACAGTGAATAAAAACTCTCCTTTGGATAGCAAACAATAAATCAGGCAACCAACAGAGTCTTTCTGAAGCAGCCAAAAGTAAGTGTATGCATATATATATATATATATATATCTATGCATGTATGTATGTATGTATGACTCTACAAAAGAATACAAGGAAGAAAGGAGACAAACTTATCTAGTTGGATCATCTGCAATAGCATGCATTTCTATCTGCCCACCACCACCAACTCTTGTTGTATTCACAAACTTCTTTTCGACTTCTCTTGAAATTTGAATATCGTTTGGGCAAAAATGCTGATGCACAATTTTTACAACAAACCGAGGAAGCAAAGCGCCCACAATGGATCCAAGCAAACATAACCAGAACAAACGTGTTCCCGCGACATGAAAGATGGCCCTGCCAAAGTTTCATGGGCAGTATTAGAAAGCACAGGCTAATCAATGTTAAGAAGGCAAGGTGAATCAATGGCAACAAATAATTAGCTTGGTAGGCTGAATAACTTGGTTTCCATACATGCAAAAGCATGAAACACTGGTGATGGAAGCATTTAATTTACAGTATATGCATGAAACACTAGTATCATTTGAATCCCCTCTTTAGTAGAATTTACTGCATGCAAGCAAATTTAAGCCTGTTAAACCTCCATTCAAAGCGTTCACTGCTCTTGACATATTAGTGGCAGGCTTCGCTGAGCAGGTAAAAAAGGGACTGCGAGAATCAATTGCCTTGGGCTTTTGAACATTTTGTTTTCAAGAGTTTTCCCCCTTTTTTTAATCTGAAATCCTGACATTTTGGGTAAAAGTTATTTAAGATTCTTTCCTCATAAAATACTATTGAGAAATCAGCAGCAAATTATATTATATATTCCATATTTTCGTCAGTTTTGCCTCTAATCATCACTTTGCTGTAAGCCTATGCCAGTGGGATGCTATAACGCATGAAAACTGGAACAAATGTAATTAAACTCCACAACAAAATAGGTCATGCCAGAATTGGTAGATAATGTATAAAGCAGAGCAATCATACCAGTAACAATTTAGGAACAAATAGTTGCATAACAAAATAAACAGAGAATGAGGTAAAGAAAGAGAGCTTACCAGTAACCAGGAAATGTGGGTAGAGCATCAATGATCATGACAGAAATGAAGGTTGCAATAACAGAACCCCAAATGGCTGCATGAGTAATCCAAGTCCACCTGATGACATCCATAGCCAAGTGTAAATTAACCAAAATAACCACTGAAAGAGTCCAAAGATCTCCAATGCTTGATACATCGACGGTGCTTCCCCAATAGGCAAAGAGAGGAACAAAGAACACAGCGATACTTTGCCACAAAGTATCAGCCATTGTCAACCAAAATAAATGTTCATTATAGGCCTCATTTCTCTGCCCAGCTCCATAAAGCTGAGGGTACTTCAGGAGAGTCTTTTTACTAAGATCTTTGTCAAGAATACCAACAATTATAGTCGGGAATGAAGTGTAAACTACAGAATATAACAAACTGCTCCATTCAGTTATAGCAGTTGTCAAAGTGAAGGCAGTGAAAAGCACATACCTGGAAGACAAAACAAAATTTGGCAGTAAACATCTTAACAACCAAAAAGAATAGAAAATCCAAATCAGCATGGGGTTCATGGCATTCCAGATTAGAAAACATTATAGGGTTCTTGGCAAGCTAGATTTGAAAAATTACATGGTTAAAGCATCCATATACTTGTGTTTTCCAGAGTCTTACTCACCAAAATAGGACAAGAACAATGATAGCATTCCTGTACAAATTGTATAGCACCATGTAACCCAGCCGTTGATAATTCCAATGGCCATGAACCAGTAAGAGAGGAACAAGAAACCTAAATTGTCCCATTGCAAAATCTGATGCCATTACAGCTTGCCGACCCTCCTGTCCACTGATACCCACTCCAACATCAGCCATTTGGATCATTGAGACATCATTAGCACCTGAATCACATGGATAAAATTTTGCAATATTAGGAGAAATATGAACAAGGGATGAACAAATGATCTTTCATCATCTATCAGTGACTTTTTCCCCATTTTTAATCCTTCTTTTTTGTAGGCAAGTGACAATGTGAAAAAAGTCAACAAATTGGGTTCCTACCATCTCCAATGGCTAGTGTCATGTCAGAGGTCCTCTTCTTCACAAGGGACACAATCCCAGCCTTTTGTAGTGGAGCTACTCGACAGCAAAGAACCACAGAACATTCACCCGCAAGTTGAAAAAGCTGGAATTAGTAGCAGCAAGTTAAATGAGCACATTAAACAAAACCAAACTGCGGTTTAGACACCATGTCAAATTTAACAGCACTAACCTGTTCTTCGAGTTCAGTGTTTTCACTTTCAAGAATGTATACAAGGCTGGTACCATCAATGATTAATGCTATTTGATTTGTTACAGGTTCAATAATTCTTCCAATGTTGTTAGCAACCCCGGAGATGGTCATGCGTTGGGCATCATGTAAATGCCTGCTACATGACTCTCTATCATTGCTATTAATTACAATTCGAGTCATATCACCTGTTAGGAGCTTTGAGGAGTAAGCAATTGATATGGCAGTTTCCTGTTTGTCACCAGTCAACACCCATATCTTGATACCTGCTGTCCTCAGAGATTCAATGGATTCAGGCACCCCTTGCTGCAGCTTATCTTCAATAGCAGATGCACCTAATATGCAGAGATTGTTTTCCACACTGCTGGAAACCCTGCGAAGCAAAGCAGCCCTACCACCCAGAGCATTGCTAGCTTCCTCAAAGGCAAAATGCCATTCCTCAAATTCTGAAGGATTCAATTCCCGCATCCCAATGACAAGGGTTCTCAAACCAAGGGAGGAATAAGAGTGAAGATGGGTTTCAGTTGCACGTATTATATCTGTGCTCGATGATTTATCTATCACACTAAACATTGACATATCAGCGCCTTTGACAAAAACTTTCACAGAGTTGTCAGGGAACCCCAATATAACAGACATCCTCTTCCGGTCACTATCAAATTCATGCAAACCCAAGACATTAAACCTGCACCAACATCATGAACATCAGATAAATCCAGTCACTAAAAAGCTAGGTTAGGAGGAGGAGAAAAACTAAAACAAGGCTCACAGACAGTTATACAATAAGCAAGCAATATGGGCAATTAAATAAATAATACACCCAAGGAAACATTTTGTAGACACTCTTACATAATAATAAATGAAAACTAATTGGTTCCAGTTATCATGGTAAATCAAGAATCACAACTGCTTGAACATTATGGATACCGTACCCCAAACATTTAACGTTCCTGGTTATCAGTATAAATCTAAAGCTTAGACTAAGATTGGGGGAAAGGCAATTGAACTTACCTTTGTCTTTCTCCTTGAATATCAATAACTATATACCCTGAAGTTCGTTCTATGAGTGTAAAACCATAGGCGGCAGCACCATATGCCAGTGCTTGTTCATCTGGTGATTCGCCTTGGTAATCAATCAATTTGACTGCAGGATCAGATGTGTCGAGAAGAAGAGGCACAATAGTATTGCAGGCTGCCAACACAAGGAAGAATTCACAAATATGTTTTCCCTCCTTGTTTTTGAATCCACCTCTTGTTAAATGCAAAAGCTTTGGATCAACTTTCACCTTCATTTTAGGCTTCAATATCTTTCCATCAACTGACAAAAGCAAACCACAAAAAAAGCAAGCGATGTCACTTATATTACAAGGTCAGATGTGCAAAAGTTGACCTATAATTTCTTAAGAACTGACAACCATTTGAAGATGAAATCACACCTTGGACAGGCTCATTCTCCAGATCGGCATTTTGAGAGCTGTAATCAACCCCCCAGATGCTTGCACATTGAAATTCCATCTTGTTCTCAGTAAGTGTGCCAGTTTTGTCTGAAAAAATATATTTAATTTGTCCCAAGTCTTCATTTATATTTAAAGCTCGACACTGAAATCTGGAATTTGATGCCTCATCATACATTTTGGTGTCTCTGGTCATGAAGTAGGCCTGACCAATCCGGACAAGCTCCATGGAAATGTACAATGATATGGGAATCATGACTTGGAACACTATAACTGACATGAGGAATGCGATCAGTATCTCCAACCCCCATCCAGAATATTTATAGCTTTTTGCTTTTCCACTTGAAACATCTAGTTTCCGATAATAGGGCAAGAGATCCAATTCATATTTGTAGCGCTTTAACCAAAAAGCAGTACAAACAGAGATAACTGCACACAAAGTTACAAGAAAGCAAGAGATCAGGATGATCTCCTTGTTCATACGAGTCTCCAGCCGACTCCTCTTTGATGGAGCCCCTGCGCTATTGAGCATTGCTTTAGTTTCTTGGCCACAATATACAGCAACACCAATTGCCCAATCGGTATTCTTGATTTCACAGCCTCGGAGAACAATATTAGATGATCCAAGTGACAATCGCTTTCCATCAATTTCCATGCTACCCTGAAACCCATAAATGTTCCTATTGGGTTTCTCACACTTAATTAACCCATTAATCCTCTCCTTTTCAGGCAACAGTGATATGGTCTCAGGTTTTGCATACCGAGTCTTCAAATTTGACTCTCCATCTAAATTAGCAGTCTGAACATATGCAACTCCTGTAGGATCACTGGTTGACAGCAGCACCATATCACAGGGAATGGTTTTATTTGCATGGATTTTAATCACTTCACCAACTCTAATGTCCTTATATATTTTCCTTTGGAAATTATCATCAACCAAAACCAATGCTGACCTGTTATTCTCAATCTTGTCAGACTGATGCCGCCTCCAGTCCTCATATGCATCCTTCAAAGCCGAAACTACCAGGACAAAGGTTAACGGCAAAAAAGAAACCCCAATCCCAAAAACGGCAATCTGAGGGAGCTGATTAAGTATGGCAATTATAAGAAAATAAAAGTAAGCAACTCTACGGAATTGTTCAAACAAATTCTTGGGCAAAAAGGTGATGATAGAGTATTTCGCAGTACGAATCGAATTTCCTGAAAACCGACCCTTCTCATTCGTACTCACAGGATCATTTATATAAACTAACCTCGCATCCACATCGCTGATTTCCTTCTTGGACGTACTGAGTACTTCAGAATCTGCTCCCTTCGAACCATACCGCTCATGCTTGGCATCCGGAAGCCCCAAATTCACTTCTCGGGTCAAATTCCTACTGGAGCCCCTAGACTGAAAGGACATGGCGCTTCTGACTGACGGTGAATTAACAGCGGGTTCAAAATTCGAAGAATTATCCACTTCCATTGTGAAAGAAGTAGCAGAGGTGCCAGAATTTGGCGTCGTCGGTTTACTTAGATCAGAGAAAACTGGGAATTTTCGGGGATGGGATCAAAAGGGGCCACTTAGAACCCTTGATCCCAAAAAACCTGAGGTTTCTAAGCAGCTTAAATTTAATTTCAAATCCCGAATTAGAAAGACGAACCCATTAAGAGAACACACTTTCTTTACATTTCACAAGTCGGAGTAGTTCAACAAGCACGTTCAACTGGTCATTGGGGATGAGACACGAGTACAGTAGGTGGGTCATGTTGCCTTGGAAGCGTGTTCTAAGTATTGGAAGTGACGGTTGTTAAAGAAATGTGGTTACAAGGAAGACTAAGCACAGGAATTTCAACTTTCGAGTCTAATACACTGAGACTGGAAATTTGAAAACGATTTGTTTCTGAATGGCCAAAGCTTGGTGGAATCATAAATACGAGTCTCTGGGCAAGGAAGCAAAGAAAAGTCCATTTTTGATTTTCCTTACCGAGTAAGAGAGAAAAAGAAAAAGAGAACGTCTTTATCACAAAGCAATTGATCTAGGGTCTACTAGGGAACTGACTTTTCCGAGGGGATCACTTCGAATTTAAATTGTTTTTCTGGGTGCACATAATTTACAGGGACTCAGCACCGCTCCTTTTACCCACGCACGTCCATAGCTCCACTACATTTTAAAGAAAATCTGAACCGTTCAAATTGGTTCAGATTTATTGTTTTAATTTTTATTTTTATTTTATATTTACTAAAATAAAATTTTTTTATTAAATTTGATCGCTAGTTTGAACAATCCACATTTAATATAAATAATTTAAATTTAATATTAAATTTTTTTATAATTTTTATTAATTGACTATTTAAATATATTTTAGATAGTGTAGATTTAATATTAAATTTTTTTTATAATTTGTAATATTAAATTCAAACCATTTATATTAAACCTAAACTGTTCAAACTAGTGATCGTATTTATTAATTTATTTTTTTTAAATTTGGATCATCGATATTGAACCTTAAACTGTTCAGACTACAGATGAGATTTATTAAATTTTTTTGTAAACATGGACCATCCATATTAAATATAAACTATTTAAATCGGTGATCAAATTTAAATATAAATCATCCATATAAATTTGGCTCATTCATATAAATTTTTTATTTTAATAAATATAAAATTAAAATTAAAATATTAAATATGAACTGTCAAGATAAAATTTAAAAAGTTTAGATTTTCTCTAAAATGTAGCAGAGCTATGGAGGTGTAGGAGGTAAGAAGAGCAAAGCCAAGTCCAATTTACAAAACAATTATAGTTTGGGTTAAGAACTTGAAATCAATAACAATTAAATTCCTAATAATTTTTTTAAAAAATAAATTAAAATATCGATCCAGATAATTATAAATTTAAAAGTTTTAATTATAAATAAATATTTAAATACTCATATAACTCTTACATTGTAATATGATTTTTAATTTGTAACCGTGTGAATTTATATTTATAATTAATTTTTAAAAAATTTTTGCCAAAAATCTAATTGTTATAAATCTAACTTTTTAGGACTTAACTATCATTTTTTCTAATTCAATACATGAAAGTTATTCATTATTATTTTTAATTTTATTCTTATTATAAATTTAATTTTATGGCTTAACATATATTGTATATTTTTATTTAAAAAAAAGTAAAATTGAAATTTTTTTCTTTAAAGGCATTTAATTTAATGAGTTATAATAGAAATAGTTGAAAATGTTTTAGGGTTAAATTTTATTTTTGTCTTTGAACCATACACTTAGAATCACCAAATGTCATAAATTCAACTTTAATATGTTGTTCTCCTTAAACCCTTAAAACCAGATCATTTTTGCCCTTGCAATTAACTAAGATTAAGTTTGGCACTTAAATGATCATGTGGACCAAATTCTCTCTTGACATGCTGGCAAAAAAAAAAAAAAAAGTCAAGCAATTTGGTGCACATCCACATGCAATAGTCAAACTTAAAGTAATGTCAAGAATGATTCGATCTTGAGGTTTAATGAGAAGAATGTATCTAAAATTAATTTTAGATACTGGATGTTTTTAAAAGAATACTTCAAGGATAGAAATAAACTTTAACCTAACGCCTTATAATAGAAATAGAAGGTATAGTATACAAATAGGAATGAAGCCCAGGGCAGTTATTGTGTTGTTTCTTTCTTTCTAAATTGCAGCCAGTTTTGTTGTTTTGATAGTCAATATTTCTATTTTTATCTCTAATTAAATATTAGTATTTTTAACTAAATATTACTTTTTCTCCCAAGGAATTTGTATAGAATTTTTTAAATAGTTATTAATAAATTAATTTTTTTCTGAACGTAAAAAGATTGCACTCGAATTAACCGTTCCCTGTCTTTCTAAATCAAGCAAGTGAACAATGTTGTTCATGTTAACTGGGGACAGCGCAACTGCCTCTTTTGTTTTTACATGTTCGTTTTTTCCCCCGATTTTAATTTTATTAATTCTTTAAGAAATGAAGAAGGAAATTAAATAAAGGTTCAAAAGTCAATACACCTTTTTGTAGGTTCAAAAGTCAGTGGGATATATGTATATATATATATATATATATTAAAAAAGTATCCACTTGTTTTGTTTAGATTCGACTCGAGCATATCGTTCGGTCAAATTAAAATTAATTCTCTTAAAAACATTTTTTTTTATTTATATGGACTCAAATTTAAAATCTCATATTCATGTAATTGCAGTTTTTCACTAAGATTAACACGGTTGGTTCTCTTGCCTTTTTTCCCCCTCTTATCATAATACTAATAGCGGTGAAAGGATGGGAGATTTTTTTTTCCCGCCCATTTTGAGGTCATCGATCATAAATTTTAAATTTTCTTTTATATTATATAAGTGTTATACTTTTTTTTTTGGGCCAAAATATAAGTGTTATGCATATCCAGTATATTCATACAAAATTTCTGCTACATATATTTTTTAAAATTTTGGCTTCTTCGTGTCCATATTTGGATACGCTCATGAAAAAGTAGGTTTAAAATTTTAAATTTTTCATAACCACTCATCATTATTATTAGTTAAATTACTTTCAGATATGTTTTTATAAATCCTTTCAAACATTAAAACTAATATTTTTAATTGTGGTCATGCAAACTTAAAAAGAATTTATATCACTATTTAATTATTTCTATTACTATCAAATAAAGTACGTTCATTCCATTGCTCATACCACAATAAAAAAAATTACTTCTATTAATTATTAATTTATTAATCAAGTAAAGTATGTTTATTCCATTATTTTTTTTTTGGTCATGGAAGTACTGAGTCTTTATTTGTAATTAAAAAATAAATAATTATTAAAATAATCAATGGAATGTCACTCATAAATTTAAGTAAAGCTAACTGTGAATTTAAGTAATATTACTTATGAATCAATGGAAAGTCAATTGAAAATAAATAAATAGTTTTATAAATTTATGTATCTCACTTATGAATCTGAAGTGGAATAGGCAACAATTTTCATGTATTGTTATTGATCCCTACTTTAAGCAAAAATTATTTGGCAACAATTGAAAAATGTACTCTAAAGTGGAGTAGGCAACAATTTTCAACTAGGATAAATGAGCAACTTAGTTCATAAACTATAGATCTAGAAGTGTCTAGAACTCTAAACTTATATTTTCTACAATATTTTTCTTTAATTTTTGAAAATAGGTATAATTTGACTCCTATTATTAACAAAAATTAACTTTGATTATTAGGTGACCAAAAAATAACAAAAAGGTCCTAAACAATTATAGAAAAGGACCAAAAATTTACTTGGTCCTTTCTTGTAATTTCTTGTTCTTGTTTTTAATTGTTGGGTATTTTTTTTTTGGTAATTTTTGATGTCTTTTCTATTATTTTCAAAAGTTAAAGAAAACATTGCACAAAAACTGAGTTTAGGCTTTTAGATGTTTTTGGATCTATAGTTTAGAGATCAATTTGTTCATTTATCCTTTCAACTATTGCAATAAAATTATAAAATATGCAACATTAAGATTGTTTCTTTTAAAACTTCTCTTGTCACAACATTTAAAAATTGTTCCCAACTTCAATAGGCAACAAAAAATAAAGGGTTAAAGGGAAAAAATATCCTAAAACTTTTTCTTGAAAGGCCTAGCATCTTAAATTTTTTTGGAGCAATTTTGCTTTAGAACTTTTAAAAATGAGGCAATTTTACTCAATTGTCAAGTTTAATCATTAGTTGACTGTGAGTTTGACCTTTTATGCCACTTGGCAGCCAAGTGGCATTTAGTTTATAAAAATTAAAAATAAAACATATGCACATGGCCATTAAAACTTCTTCAATCGTTTCCTCTTCTCCATTTTCTTCCTTCCTCAATGTGATTGTGAGCTAGGAAAATTATTGAAAATGGGTTGATCTTCTCAATCTTCTTCCTTCTTCTTTCATCTAATTAAGAATGGAGGGCACATCGGTGGCTCGTCCTTTGATCCCAAGGGTGGGGGGCAATGAAGTAGGAGAACCCATTTTAAGAACTCCAAGCACTAGGGGAATGGTAGAAATCAACAAGTCCTTTTGGAGAGTCCTTTTAGTCTTTCCACCTCTAAAAGACCTAAATTAGCCAATTGAGGAGGTAGGAATGAGCTGCTACAAGGGAGAGAAGTTATCTCTAAAGGAAATTGACATTGAAATTTCAATTATGATTTTTGCTTTAGGCTCTCATGTTGTTCTCTAGGGACCATGTCAAGGTTTGATTTTTTCTTTGATTTCTTATCAATGGTTGAATCCCACAACCTATTGTTGAAAATTCTACTATGAGTTTTGCTTTGATTTCCACCTTTTCCTTTCATTTTGATTTGAAAATGTAAAAATTGTCCAAGAGGGGGAGTAAATTGGACTATAAAAAATTTAACAAAATTTGCATAATAAAAGAGATAAATTTAGGAATGATATCACCAAATACATTAAGAGTAAAGAAGAGAACCTTTGCATGCGTAGTTATTTTAGTTCAACTCTAACCACTTGAGCCTACGTCCAGTCCCCAAGTTACACTTGAGATTTTCTTTACTTACTCTACCAAGATGAATCTAGGTTTTTGATTGCCTCAGTACAAATCACACTTCAAGTTTGAATCACTCTCCCTTACAAAGGTAATGTGATAACCCACTTAAGCTCCCCAAGCTTAAGTCCCCTATTTCAAGTATGAAAAACAAGGATACGTAGAGTATGTTCAAGAATGAACTAGTCCTATCGCAAACTCTCTCTAAGAGTGAAATATACAATCAACAAAGCTTATAAAAAATGAATATGATCACAAAAGATAGGTAAGAAATTGAATGCTTAAGATCATGCAATAACTCTTCTACATCTATCTTCATAAATGTGCCTGTTTATAGTTGGAAATGATTAACGATCCATTAGACACATTTAATTAGCTGTTAGACTCTTTATCTTCTTCTTCTTCTTTTTTTTAAGTTTCTCCGAAAATAAGGTAATGGCACAATGCTTTATGGCAAAGTTGAGAGCTCACAACAAGTAATGAAAATAATGG